AATTTATACTCTCATATGTCATTGGTTAATGTTGTATGCCATAATAACAATTCGTCATTCCTTCAAGACTTTGCCAAGACTTTAAAAATAAGCATAAGAGTCATCACCATCATCTTCATCCTCATACCTCTCAATATTTTCCCATACTTCAAGCTCCCATTCATTATCACTATAATATGTGTCTGAATCGTACTCTCTAATTTTTAAATCTTTGATCTGATTATGCAACATTTCCCACAGATTTACCCCGACTAAGATTTATTGGACCTACAGTTTAGGACTACATGTTAAAAATCATAGTGTAATTATACTCCTATTTCATTGACAAATTTGGTCATCAAAATATCAGCTTATGTGATATGGAAGTAAATTGCTACTTCTTGAATGTTTGTGATGCAATCAAACTCAATGCATGATTCTCAAGGGCCCTAACCCCTAAGGATAAGATCTGACTGATTTTCTTCTTCTCTTATGATTTCGATATCCCTTTCTTCAATTTCATCTGTGACAAATTTAATTTTGTTGAACGAGTGTGACCTAACAATTTCGTATTTAATTCAAATCAGTGTTTGGTAGAACATGGATAGTAATAGAACTATTATTTGGTTTAGGAGGAATCTTAGAATTGAGGATAATCCAGCACTATCGGCTGCTGCTAGGGATGGTTCTGTGTTTCCTGTGTTTATATGGTGTCCTAAAGGGACTAAAAAGTTGAGGGTAGCTGAGAAAACAAGTTGTTGAACTTGTGGCTGCTTCAGCCCAAAATGATTTCCCCAAACTAGTATATGAAATCATGCATATATGTTTTTTCACTATCATCGTGTTCATCTGTTCTGCTATCCCATTTTGTTGCGGAATATAACCAAGTCTATGATGCTTTCAATTTAATACATTAATTGAACCTATATGGTTTTGCATTTATGTAATAGATTTGTACTTTATATGTAGGCACATAAGCAAGACAATGGATGGGCTTGTTGATATTTTGTAACCAAGAACATGCTTGATATTATTGATACTTCTATTGTTGAAAGATTCGATGAGGTAGTATAATTTAAAATAAAACTTTATTACGTATATTTATTGAAAAACAAGTAAATTGTTGTTTTAATATGTAGATGTTTAATTTATTGTATGTTGAACTTGTAAATATTTACATACACATCACCCTATGAAAAAGAGACAATTGACCATATTCGGCAATTTTAGGGTCAAAGTTTTTTGCACATGATTGAAAATCAAAAGGATGAGGAGAAAAATCTACAAGACCAAATGCAAATGGTTGAAGTGGATAAGGACATAGAAGAAGACCAAACGCAAATGGATGAAGAGCATAAGGATATAGAAAATTTTCCTAAACAAAAGCAAAAGAAGAAGAAGAAGAAGAAAACTTATATACGAAGAAAGTGACATGAAATATTATGAGTTGGTTGAATATTTTGTTAATATTATGACTTCTTAGTACAAAAATATGATTTTTGTATACTTTTTGTAAATATGAAAAATATTATGACTTAGTACTTGAAACATGTTTTTTATGTGCATGACTTATAGTATTTAAAATATTATAACTTCTTAGTACATGAAATATGAAGAAATGTGATAACTAAAATAGGGTGTAATGTAGCATATGAAATAGGGTGTAAATGGAATTAAATATAATATGATATTTTGATTCATAAAGGGTGTAAGTTATATTAAAAATGGGTGTAAAATTATATTAAAACATGGTGTAATTACACCTGTTTTTTATTAAAAAAGAGTGTAAAATTATATTAAAACTGGGTGTAATTACACCCGATTTTTATTAAAAAATAGTATAAAATTATATTAAAAAGAGTGTAATTACACCTAATTTTTATTAAAAAATAGTGTAAATTAGCATATATTTACACCCAATTTTTATTAAAATAGGGTGTACATAAGAACATATGTACACCCAATTTTTTATTAAAATAAGGTGTATATAAGAACGTATTTACACCCAATTTTTAATAAAAAAAGATGTAACGTAGAACCTATTTATACTCGATTTTTATTAAAAAATGGTATAACATAGAACATATTTACACCCGATTTTTAAACGGGTGTAAATGTGTTAGACATTTCTCATCTGATGAATAAACACACGATATTTATTAAATTTAATGTGTGTAAATATAATAAAAAAACGTGTGTAAATTAATCTTTTTTACTAGTGGTAGTATGTATGAGGATCTGCTGGTAACGAGAGTAAAAAAAGTGATCAATCGTTTATTTATGGAATATGTCTTAAAAAAATTTATTTATAGGATTTATGAGTCATAAGACAATTTTCGAGCAATGGCATAGGAACTTTTTTATAATATTTAACGAATAACCCTATTAAGTTAATGGATTTGACCTAGATATCAATTGACAAAAAAAAGAATTTTTCTATTCGAAATCCAATAGAAAAGAAGGGACAATCTATGAGAAATCATATCATATATAAAATGATAGGAAGTGTTCGGAAATGGTTTGAGGTAGATGAATAGAAGGATTACTATGACTATAGCTCTTGGTAAATTTACCAAAGACCAAAATGATTTATTTGATATTATTAATGACTAGTTACGGAGGAAGCGTTTTGTCTTTGTGGATTGGTCCAGTCTTTTACTCTTTCCTTGCATCTATTTTTCTATAGGGGATTGGTTCACATGTAACACCTTTATAACTTCATAGTATACTAATGGATTGACAGGTTCTTATTTAAAAGGTTATAACTTCTTAACTGCAATAATCTTTACTCCTACTAATAGTTTAGAACACTATTTGTTGTTTTTATGGGATCCTGAAGCACATGGGGATTTTACCTGTTGGTGTCAATTAGGTGGTATGTGAACTTTTGCTGCTTTTCAAGGTGCTTTCAAGTTAATATGTTTTAAGTTACGTTAATTTGATCTTGCTCAATCTATCCAATTGCGGCCTTATAATGTAATCACATTCTCCGGTTCAATTGTTGTTTTTAAAATTGCAAATTTTAACAGACAATGACTTATCTCAAATGCAGAAGATTCACAACTGTTTGACTTTGTTGCAGTATTACATCATTGCAGCAGTTTGCAGTGTTGCAACAATGCTGAAATTTGTTTGAAACATGTAATTACAACCCTAAAAGTGATAATGCAAAGGAAGAAGAGCCCTTAATCTCAAAGAAGTGATTTCACTACTCTTATGATAATATATGGATGACATTCATATAAAAGGGATTTGACTACTCTTATGATATAATATGGATAAACACGTCTTAACAATTGAAACATTTCACACTCGTCATTTGATCTCGTTACAAGATTATAAAGTAAGTCTTCATGAAAAACAACTTTATCGACAACTTCGAATTGATCTAATAGAGTATGTTTAGAAAAATATTAGACATAAGAAAGGTGAAATTTATCACCCGACTTTAAAAAGTGTGAAAACCAAGAATAATGAAATTTTTCTAGATTTCTTTTATATTATCACTAAACTCAAAGATGATTTTACATGTATTTTTCTTAAACAAATTGAAAAACAAAGGAAGAAGCGACATTTAGATGTTTTTTTTCCTAACACTAAATGCATATAGAGTAACTAAAGTAAAAAAAATTCAACTGTAAATCGAAAGAGATATGTGAATTGGGTAAATCAAGGACAGTGTTACAAAAATTAAAGAAAACAATTGGAGAATGATGGTTAGTTAGGGTCGAAGAATTTAGAGTTTTTTAACCTTACTTTGATGAGTAAGTGGGGGTGGAGACATTTAACATAGAAAAAAGCTATTTGGTCAAATATTTTGCTCTTTCGGTATGGTTGGTGTTGTGCCTCCTCGGATTTTGGAGTCCTATTTGCTTTGGTGGTGAGGGATGTTTGTAATTCAAAAATTGATGATTATTTTGTAGGGGCAATTCTGAGGAGAGAGCATTTTTACTTGGGACACACCTTTGTGAGAGACACACCACTTGTCCATCTAAAACCTTAAGGTGATAGATGAGTGTGTTCTCTCACTTATAAGTGCTCAATCTTCCCTTTTATAATCAATGTGGGACTTCTTCTTCACACTTGATTCTCAACACATTTGTGCTTTCTTAATAGTCTTTCGATTAAATTGGGAAATGACGAGACCATTGAATTTTGGGAGTATAGTTGGTTGAGGTCAGAGCCTTTTTAAGGTTCTTTTTTCGCTTTTATTTAAGACTTTTTCTTCTTATTTTTCTGCTTGTATTTAATATATTGCTTTGCTTATAAAAAAAGAATAATAATTTATGTTTGTTGTGTGAATTGAAGGAGGAGTCGATTGATCATCTTTTCTTTCGGCGTTGCAAGTCAGTGATTTGGAGGGAGGTTTTGAAGTGGTTAATCGGGGGTGAGGAGTTGAGATTTTAGCAGAAATGATAACGTTGGGAGGGTCAATTCCTTTTTTGTTATCAAGAATAAAGTTAAGGTTATGTAAGTTTATTAATCCTTATTTTTTAATTTCTTTTTGTTTCTTGTGTCTTGGTTGGATAGAAATAATATTGTCTTTTAACAACAAACTTTGGAGATATAATAATTCTTTTTGTTGTTTATTAAACTCTTGGGTTGGGATTAATTTTTCCATTCTTTCTAGAGGTTCTAGTGATTTTGACAAGAATGTTTGGTTATCAAATTTTAGGATTTATGTTGGCTAGGTGTTGGTTTGTTTTATTGTTTTTGTTGGGGTTGGTTTGTTTCCCTCTTGTTCGCTCTTGTATTGGGTTAGCACCCTATTCAATATATTTTGCTTATAAAAAAAAAAAAAGAGCAATGACATCGTTCTCACATATTATTAAAGATCAAAATCAAAATTAATCAATTTCTTCCATTATCAAATATTTCTTGATCTTCGTACATATTCAATACATGACAAAGCAAAAAAATATGTAGAGACATAAGGAATTAAGTGAGTAATTAAGTAAACTATGATGTGAATTAATTAGAATTCATCATCATGTTACTGTAGCTCTATCATTAAAGCTGATTTAATGAATACTAGTTGGCTTCATCTCAACATCACCCTCTTCATTGTTTTCACCTTTGTTAAAACAATAGCAAGCATATAAAATAAGCTGAACAATTCCAGAAACTACTCCTATACTGTTGCATATCTACAAGAACAATACACAAAATTGTTAAAACATTTTATTCAATATATTTTAAGAAAAATAAAAGCAAAATTTTTTTATTAAAAAATAAGTTGAATTATTGATTTAAATTAGAGACAGAAAAATTAAATCAATTTCAAATATTATTATCTTTAAAACTTCACTATACAACTAAAAATATTTTTTAATCTTCAGTTTACATTTATAATTTAATTTTTTTTTTAGTATACACTGTATAATGAAGGAAAAACAAAAACAAAAATAAATAAATAAATAAATAAATAATTAATAAATTAATTACCAAGATATAAATATCGAATGGGTGAAGGAAAGCATAAGTTGTCCAAGCCAAACCATTTAATAAGTTAGCTAGAGAGAGTGAAAATGGCATATATTTCACACTTTTAGTTTTTATAACCTTTGCCTGTTCATTACAAGACCAAGAGATAATTAATATAATTAAAGTATAATATATACGATGATAAATTAAATTTTATAACATAAATTTAAATGATATAAATGAAATGAAAGTTACCATGACAGTTAGAGGAGCGAAATACATCATGACATTGAAAACAGCAGATATAATACCAACTACTAGGGACCTTTTTGTAGTGCCATGAAGTGCCAACATAGTTATAAGAACAATGGTCACAAAGAAAATAGTCTCGATAGCAAAAATAAGACATAGTTTTTTCTGAAATTATTAAGAAGATGAGTCACATAACAGAAATTATATGACACTCAATAAGTTTTTTTTTTTTTTTTTTAAGAAATAAAAAGATATATTTACCCTTCCTTTGTTGGTAGAATAGATGTAGAATATGGTGAGATAGACAATTTGAATCACAACTCCTGTACCATTGATGGTATAGACTAAAGTGCTATTTGGGTGCACAAAAGGCATTCCATACAATACCCAAAATGCACAATTCATTATTGTAGCTAAGTATGGATCTGGTTTGAATTCTTCAACAGCTTTCTTCTTAATAATTCCATAGAATGTTGGACTGCAATTCATTCATATTAATCCATTCATTCAATTATAAGAGTGGCTATTATATTCATTCTTCACATATTTATAAAATTTATTACATAATTCATAAAATAAAGTTTTATTTTTAACTCATTGAATGGTGATGATAAAACTTCTGAAACTGTGAAAAAAATATTACCATACATGGTGTGAGTTAAAGAAACACTTTTATTTGAAATTGTGCATATTTATAATTTTAAAGTTCATTGTGTTGAAATTCTGACTTCATAAGTATACCAGTAATAATATTGTTAAAAAAATTACTAAAAATATTTAAATTTATTGTTATTGTTATATAGAGATATTAATTTATAAATTTAATAAACATATTATAAGTAAATAAATTATTAAATATAATAAAAAAGAGATAATATGGTTAATACAGAAGAGTTTCAATAGATCCATAAAAATCAATAATGAATCAGAAAATTAATAGAAAATAAAATATGTATTAAAATGCTAAGAAGGAACTATAAACTTTGTATTTTAAAATGAGGTTCATACAATAATATAATCCATCCCTCCAAAAATTATATATTACTTTTTTTAACGTTCCATAAATGTTTTTTAAACGAAATCGAAAAATAATTTTTATTTTAAAATATGATCAAATTTTGATAATTTTATGAAATTATTTAACAAAATGATAGAATACTTATTTTTTTTAACTGATTAAATCAATTTTTATATAAAGTTTACTTAAAAAATATATATAATAGTAAAATTGTTTTTAAAAAACCAAAATAAATAAATCTTAAATCTAATATAAAGGGTTATAAAATTATTAATAAATTATTTATTCTCTAATTATTAAAAAATAAAATATTTTAAATGAGAATAGAGTAAACATCAACAAAGAATGCAAAAAATGACAAGAAAATGACAAAGAAGAACAGAGTAATCAGAAAAAGGAATTACGCTGGTGACAAAAACAAGCCGAAGGAGATTACATTGCCTGAACACACAAAAAACAATATAATAAAAACCATATTTTTTCATTTATGAGTCAAACTATATTTTTTAATTGATCAATATATATATATTTGCATGTTATTATTTTAATTTAATATATATATTTTTCATTGCAAAAATGAAAGACAAACCTAGAATTCCAACTGCTGTACGAGCTATTGAATCGTTTCCCATTATTTTTGAAGCTCTTGTTTCTATAGAGAAAGTGCAAAAGAATGAGAGAGAAAGAGAAAGAGAAAAAGCTGATAGAGTGAAATAAAAGAGAACACAGACCTATTTATTGTTGAGGTTTGATTATTTATTTCTTTTTGAAATATAATATATTGACATTTTTTATAAACACTTTTTCATAATTAATTCTCACTCTGACTACTTTCTACAAAAATTCCTTAAATACTCTAGTTTAAATTGGTTTTCACTCTGACTACTTTCTAGAATAATTCATCAAATACTCTATTTATGATCCTGAACTCTTTTACATATATTTTTTGTTTTTGTGTTATTTGAGTGATGAAGTTCTAAATAATAATTATGTTCGAGATTCCTATACTACTATTGATACGAATGATATTGTACATTTTAACTTTGTCAAGATTTAGAGAAATTGCAAAGTTTGAACCATAAAAATGTGTGAGAAACTAAACATATGTAGACAAATATCAAACATTTGTATAATTATTCTTTTCTATATATATTTGAAGAAAATGATATATTAAAAAATCACACTCATACAATTATCAAATTCAAGATTTGAATTTTTGTGATAGTGTCAAATATAATGATATCAATTTTTATTAGTTAAATTAAAAGTTACAAACATTTGTATACTGAATAATATTTTATAAAAGATGATCTTTAAAAAATAAACAAATATGTTAAAGAAATTTTAGTTACATGTAATCGCCCAAATAATAGAAAATCAATGTAAGAGGTGTAGGATCCAGTCATTTCCACATGACTAATATATATTTGATAAAATAGAAGGTTATATGTGATGACAAGTAATAAGGTGTATGGTGTAGTGCATTGAGTAACACATGTTATGGGGACATACTTTGCAATGGACAGTTTGTGCTTTGCATGGAAGGCAAAGAACAAGTGTCTTCACGCATGTAAGGCACTTTTGATTTGCTTCTCCTATAAATAGGACCATGAGCAAACATTCAAATCACAATTGTAACACCTCGAATTTCTAAATTGATTAATTATTTAATTGATTTACGTGAATATATGAGTCATTATGAAATATTTGATATATGTGATGTTTTGAGTGTTTTTATGTGAATTCTTGTGATGATTTATGATGAGATGAATATGATAGTTAATACGATGTTTGATGTGGTATATGATGAAGTAGTGGTGAGTTACGAGATAATATGAGTCGTTTAGAATTTAAATAATTAGTCTGAAACTATTTAGATTTAATAGTAATTGTTTAGAATTATTATTAATTAAGTAAATAGAACAAATAGTGGTGTTTAAAAAATAAGGAAAATGTGGTAATTAGTGAAGTGTAAGTGGGGATAATAGTGAAAGACTATATTAGGGGTTCAAGGGGTAAGTTTGGTATAAGGAAAGTTTGTGAGTTAGAACGTTCATTATGTGAAATCGTAACATTTGGAATAACACTGTGAAGAGGCAGAGTTATGACACACAAAAGTAGGAGGATTTTTGTGATAGAACACCAAGAGATTAGATTAATGCTATAATCTAAGGTAAGGGGTGTATATCATTTTTATTATAATCGATCTAAGGTCTAGATAAATGTAAATTGTGTTGGATTTTGGTGATTTGATGATTCTGTTGTAATTGATGAATTTGTGTTGGAATTGGTGAAAATACCTTGTAGAATTATCATGAGTTTGTGCATATAATGCCTATAATGTTGTATAGATATAATATGATGATTAGGTGTTGAAATCTGTGAGGATTGGAACTGTTTTGGTGCAAAATTTCAAGAACTAAGACTGGTTTTTATACAGGAAATCGCAGTAGGAAAACCCTGTTCGCGCAGAGCCACTAGGCGATGAGAATGGTCGTTGGGAGATGATAGCTTCGCTTGGCTGTCGCCAGGAGAAAAGGGAGGCGATAAGGGGAAGAAAAGAAAGATGTTACTGGAGTGCATCGCTCGCACCATCGTCGGACGAAGTAGACGCGAAGGGTGTGTCGCCAGGTGAGCGAGGGGCTTCGTCGGGCGATGGTGTCCAAAAATGGAATAGGTGGGTTGTCGCTCTCACGCCTCCAGGCGAGATTTATGCGACGGACAACAGTAGGATTATTCAAAATATCATAACTTGAGTTTTAGAACTCGGTTTGAGCTGTCGTTTGAAGTGTTGGATAGTTAACGCAATGAACTTTAATTAGATGGACTAAAATGAGAAATAATAAGTATATTCATAATACCTAAGATAGAATGAAGTTAGATTTCCTGTGTTGGATTATAATGATGCTTTGTTTATTATGATGATATGATGATGTTGTGACGATGCTTTGTTTATTATGATAATATGATGATGTTGTGATGATGCTTTGTTTATTATGATGATATGATGATGTTGTGATGATACTTTGTTTATTATAATGATATGATGATTTTGTGATGAATTCATGACTGATGATGCATTTCGACTAACAGTGTCGTATTTATTATGTTGTTGTGTATCATGCATTCATGACATAGTTTAGGACCTCGGTCCAGTGGTGTTGTTAGGACTTTGATCCAGTGAAGATGATAGGACAATTGTTCATTGAAGGAATCAATCACATAATGTGGATTGAGTGCAAAATTATGAACTGTTCTAGTTCCAAGTGGGAATCGATCTTATTGGTGAGGATCTATGGAGAAAACGATGATTGAGTCATCAATTAAATTTTGGTACTACATGCATGAGTTTATGATGTTGCACTACATTATAAGTGATATTGCATATTGATGTTATTAAATGATGCGAATTGATAAATATTATTATGATGATATGTTGTTATGTATTGATGATGTTGTGAATGTGTGGGTTTTGACACGAGGCTTGTTGATGCATGATGCTTTTCCTATGTGCATGTATACTATATGTATTCCTTATGTCTTTTATAATGATTATGATTTACTCACCCTTTCTACTTAGAAATGTTGCCTATATCCTTGGGTAACTCGCATGTGATTGTTGCAGCGGTATAGCGACAAGCAAAAAGTCAAATATTTAATTTACCGGGTGATATAGGTTATATTGTATAATATCCATAGAGATTGGTTATTGAATCTTCATTTGACAAATCTATCATTAATGGGTTTGGGGGTTGAATGGGTTTTATGGAAAATGTATCAACAAAATATAAATGTACACAAAATTATAAAGCATAGACAACTTATCTGGTACGAATGTATACTACTCATCACAAACTTAAATCTATCGATCATTTTCACTCAACCTATTGTACTCGTCAAAATCATCACAAAAACCACGAGATGTACCCACAATGAAGATTATGTCTAACATCAAGTCGCGAGACCAATCGTATTACTTTATCGACAATGTCTTACGCGCTACAGCAGCACAAAGGCATTAAACTTTAGCACCCAAAGTGAATATTAGCTCTAAATCTATCTCTAGAATCTAGATACTAATAGATATCCATCCCTAATCAAGATTTGTGAGGTATATGTGTATAACAATTCAAATCCAAACATAAAGCAAAAAGATCAAAGAAGACATCAAGATTGATTTGTAAAGCAAGCTTTATACAACACCATGATCAACAAATATATATGTGTTCAAAGTAAATATACAAATAATATCCAACAAAAGAGAAATACAAAGAGGGGATAAGAGATAAACCACAAATCTTCTAATTTGTCAGCGCCGGTCGAAGAGAAATCCACCTCCAATCATCCATAAGTAAGGCCCTAATGTTGTTTTCTAAGCTAATCTATCAAAAAATGAAGGTTTGATGAGCTGGGAATAAATACCCCAAAATATAACCTAAAAAATGTGTATTTTAGCCCTTTTAACGTGATTCTGTCCAGGGGACCGCGCTAAGCGGCAAAATCTCGCTAATCAACCTACTGTCATGAGAAAAAATCAGCTTTTTGTTTTCGCCATAACTTGAGAACCGTGACTCCGATTTACACCCGGTTCAAAATGTTGGAAAGCTTATTCAATTATCTATCAAAAAATGCCTAAATATCAACCAAATTTATGGTTTCTTATGCTTTGATTTTGAGCCTTATTCGTTGACGAGTTGCTCAAAATCGCGCGTTTGAAGCCGTGTCTTCAACACTTTATTGCTCATGCTCTAAATACGCATCAATACCTATAAAATGAATGAAAAACTATCAAATGGTACACAAATACACAAAAACACAAATAAACACAAACTAAACGTATTTACATAAAAGTTGGGTTTATTCAATAATATTAACAACAAAAAGTATATACAAAAATAGCTATAATTTGCACTTATCAAACTCTCCCCAACTTGAACTTGTTTGTCCTCAAATAAAGCCAAACAACTCAAAGAACCAAAAATAATCGACCAAAATATCATGAATCAACAAGTTTTGAAAATGGAAAACAAATGAAATGGTTCAAATAAAAAATGGTACACACGAAGAAACATACTTACCACTAAACTATGACGATAACATAAACACGAAACGAATGCTAAATACAAAGAACATGTCAAACATTCTAAAACAACACTAGTTCACAAATGAATCACACCTATAAAAATCAATCACCGGTAGATGAAAAACACACAAAATAAGGTATTTTCACTCATCCACAATCTTGCAAACAAAAGACCAATTTATGCATTCATCCAAAAACTCATATTGAAAACACAAAGGCAAGAATATAAAGGGATTTTAAAGGTTGTAATATGGCTTGGTTAACAATTAAGTGATAATTCCTAAAGCTAATCGAAATAAAAACATGCTTAAACCTAAGGAAGTAATTACTTTCACAAATTTTCAAACAATAGAATTTCAATCAAACTTCTTCTTTACCACAAGTTTCAAACCAACACACATCACTTATTAACACAATTATTCAAACTCTTTTTTCTTTTATTTTTTAAAGCTTTTCTATTTTTTTTATATTTTTCTATCACTTCTTTTTCATTTTTTTCTTTCTTTCCTTTTTTTTCTTTGTTTTTCTCAACCTCATAGTAATACACAC